TGTTATTCTTTTTGCGGACCTTCTGCAAACGACTGTTGTGTTTGCCGGAAGTCATCTGCGCCGCGTCCGCGGACGTCCGCAGGGATGAACTGTTAAAAGGGTCTTAATTTTTTTTTTTCATTTTATTTTTTTATGTTTATTTTATTTTTTTTATTTTTTCCTCCTGACATGGTGACGCAAACGCGTAACATAGGAAGGGCGAAACGTTTTCCCATTAAGCACAAACTGTGGTTGCGAAATCGATTGGCGAAATCAGCGCAACGGGAAGCAGTGCGAACAGGGGATAACGACTGGAATGAGAGCCCCTTCTTTGTTGCCGCCCTTATGTGTACGTAGCGACTTCTGGAAGGAGGAAGCATATCCACTTGTGTGACGCGACATACAACTGGCAGTTTCGCCCACGTGATGCTCCGATGCTTCACCCTCTTTTTAGAGGACCCCCCATTTCACCTTAGAGTAACTCCCAGCAGGCGTAGGGGAAGTTAGCGAAGAGAGTCTGTCCGCCGAGGGATTCTGCTCATCATTCTTCGTTCAGCCCTCCCATTAAAGAGTCCCCAAAAAAGGAGGAGCTGCCAACTCCCGTTACACATTACTGAGCTGCACAGTAAAATCGCAACTGAGGAAGGTTACTACGTGAGCGTATGAATAAGGGGGATGACTTGGGGCACCTCGCTGATCCGAAGCTAAGACAAGGGGAACCTTTGTGGACCTTCCAAGCGAGTCAATCGCACGATGAACCCAAGCAGCAACGACAAGAAGAGGAACCTGCCCGCGTACGCAGATGAGAATGGCTACAATGTGTCTCGGGCCGGTGCAGCGGTGAACGTGCCACCGGTGAACGTGCCATCGGTGAACGTGCCATCGGTGAACGTGCCATCGGTGAACGTGCCATCGGTGAACGTAGCGTTGGCGAACGTCCCACCCGTTACCGCCCCTTCGGCTAACGTTCCCACCCCCCCCGCAGTGACAATGCACAATCCGTACTTCTACCCGGGGGCGCTGATCCCGCAGTTCCCCTTTAACACCCCCATGTATCAGCAGCCCATGAGCTACGGCAACATGATGCCTTACACCGACTACGGCTATGTTAATAGGCGATCCATGAAGAAGAAAAAAAATCATCACCATTATTCGCGCCAGCGAAATAGCGGCCTGTCTATCCTGAAGGAGGCGATTGTGGACCCCTGGGCCCAGGAGTACGGCAAATACCCCAACATCATTTTTGATTGATCGGGCAGTGTGGAAGTCCGAAAAGGTGTGGAACGGTTCGACCCAAGTGTAGATCCCGTTGACGCGGTTTGACCCCCTACATTGCGATCGCTCACGAGGCGACACGTTATTGGAACGGACATGTATATAAATATATATATATTTTTCCCCTTTTTGTTTTCCTTTTTTTTCCTTTTTTTTCCTTTTTTTTCCTTTTTTTCCTTTTTTTTTTTTTCTGGCCCACGTGCCCCCCGGTGAGAGAACAACACGGATGTTGTTGTACACTCTTCGGAGTCATGCGCATTTGTTTTCTTTTCCTTTGCTCTTTTTTCTTTCCCTCTCTTTTGCTTCCTTCCCCCTTTGTCGTTCTCCTCACGAGAGGCAGTTTTGACTTCAAAAAACAAAGTTGACTTTAAGAAAAAGGTTCACCAAGGGGTGTTCTACGCGGTGTGATACGCGGTTTGCTACGTGGTAGGGGGGCTAATGAGAGGGATACATATCTCCGCCCCCGATCGCTCCACCCCGATGGGTGCACCCCATCTAGGCGGCTTGCCCCTCAAACATGATGGAGAGGAGAAGAATGTCTCCGATCTCGTAGTCCAGCGACAGCAACGTCTTGTTGTCCTCCCGGTAGTTATACTTGGTGCTGTGGACGCGCGACAAGAAGGTCAGTTGCTTTTTCTCATTCGAGTAAACCTTAAATATCCAGTGGGCGTCCCTCTTCCGGCTCTCCTGATAAAAGTCCTTCACTAGCGTTACGATCTCACGCATGGTGATGTCGAGCCATCCATAGATTTGCAGCTCGTTGCTCTGTACGCCGCTTTTTTTGGAAAGTCTCACGTCCTCCACGTCATTGTATTCGTCGTCTAGCTTATAGAACAAACGAAGAAGAAATGGGCACGTCTTCTCCCGATCGATCAGCCCATTGGGACCTCTGCCTTCATCGAAGCTGTGGATACCATGATCTGGGTGATGCTGAGGCCTTCTGTTCTTGATCAAAACGGCCACCTCTTTTTTATATTCCATCTGATCATATGCGCCGTGCCGATAGGGGTGCCCCATCTGCCCGTATGGCAGTAGCTCTGTTCGATCCTCCCTTTCGCCATATTTTTTTCTTTTTTCAATTTCCCGATGGTGTGTCCCTCCATAGGGTTGCCAATCCCGATCCCTGAACCGAGGGGCTTCCTCTTCCTCCTCGGTCATTCTGGGTCTTCCCTCCCTGAAGGGGTCTCCTCTCTTCCATCTGGGGTACAAAAACGTGTCCTCGTCCTCATGAAAGTTGTGATGAATACCATCCGCTCCTTTCCTACCTCCAATGCGCTCTCTTCCCCTTGGTACCATTACGGTGCCATCATGTGGCATCCTTCCTTTGGCTCGATATCGCTCTTCAGTGCTAAATGAACCGGTTAAATCTGCTGACTGAGCATCACTGAAGTAGTCCCTTCTTTTTTTACGCGTGGGGATATGACTCGATCGAGATTTCACCTCGTAGGAGGAGGAGTCCATAGTGGACTCATACTCCTCTGCATCACTTCCTCGCCCATTTCGGTTCGCCTTACATGCCTTATTTTCTTTTTTCATTTTATTTTCTTTTCTCTCCACCCGTCTTCTTTGGCTCCCCCGTTTTTGGTCCCCCTCCAGCGTGTTTGTATGCCCCTTCGTGGTGCCTCTCTGCGAGTGCTTTATGCCAAGTGGACTCCTGCCATCATCCTGGTGGTAGTCGCGGTGATTGTCCCGGTGATAGTCACGGTGATAGTCACGGTCATAGTGGCGCTCATACTTATGGTGCTCCTCCGATCGAGAGCCCCCCGAGTTGCCTCTCCAATAATGGTCCTTTGCGTAGTTGAATTTATCGCCCCCGAGTTCCACCCTTGAGTTGTGTTTATACGTGTGTTCCTCGCTGCTTCCACGTCTGGCTCTTCTTCCGCTCCGATCGTCGGCCAACTTTTTTTTTCTTTTTTTTCTCTTCTTCGATTCTTCTTCCGAGCTTAGACTGACTGAGTAGGAGGGCTCTCTGCTTGGTCCCCTCCTTGATCCGTTTTTTTTCTTCGTCCCCAAATTTGACGAGCCCCTTCTGTCGTCCTCCCTTTTTTTTTTACCTCCCTTCTCTTCATCGTACCTATGATGATGATTCTTACTGGAAAGATAATCACTGGTCCCCTTTTTTTGGATTTTCTTTTGCCGCTTCTCGTTGTGTGACTTGTAATTAAGATCGCTTAGGCTCTCCAAATCCATGTCAGGATCGGTGTGACTGTTAGAGATGCTGAAGCTGCTGAGTTTGGTGTATCCTCCTTTTCTTCTTTCTCCTCCTCCACCCACTGCTCCAGCCCCCAACTTGTGCTTCCCCCTCTTCTTGACCTCCTTCCTTTTGCGTTCTTTCCTATCTCGGCTATGGCGGCTATAGAGGCTTTCTCCACTGCGGTTACTTCCGCTTCTACCGCGACTTTGGCTTCTCCCGTGACTTTCGCTTCTCCTGTGACTTCCGCTTCTCCCGTGGCTGTCTCTCCTACTGCGCCTTCGCTTGTCCCCCCTGTCCTTGTGCCTCTTAACTTTGTGGCTCCTACCTTTTTTATCAGTTTTCTTTTCGCTCTTCCGTTTCATATCGCCCGCCTTTCCGGCGTCGCTAAGGGAGAGCGGACTCATGGGGCTCCCATGGGAGTCCTCAGAGGCGTCGCCTTTTGGCTTCCTCTTACACTCCTCACGCGATTTTCCCTTAGCATTGATTTTATCACGCTGGCCATTACCCTCGCCACCACGCTCACTTCTACTTTCGCTTCTACCCTCTCTGGGCGCCACGTTCTCCTTCACGAGGCTGCCCACGTCGCTGCTCCCACCTTTATCCACGATCTTCCCTTTCTCATCTCCACTTTGCGTGTTGTTCTCCTTGTCGTTTTCGAGAGAGGAGCTTTCCTCGCTGCTGCTCATTCTCGTGTGGCAACTTGGACGGTAGGCGAAACGGATAGAAATTCGTTACAGAGGGAAGGATCACCTCCTTTCCTGTCTTGGCTGCCCTTTCACGTAGCGATGGGTCTGAGAGTGTAACACACTTTGTCCCGATAGTGCGTTCTCCCTATTCGGCGCGCAAACGAGGGGAGCAACTCTCGTGCGACTTGTCCAAAATGACAGCAAAGCAAAACAAAGCAGAGCAAAATCACCGTTGGTTAACTAAACCGAACGTTTAGCTAACGGGAGCAGCGACACTGAGTCAGGCAGAGTCCTTACTGCTAAGATGATCACAAAAAAAAAAAAAAACATGCGGACGTGCAGAAGGACCTACAGAGTGGAGAAAACCCTCTCACATCAGGATCACACAGCAAGTGGTTAGCATTCATATAACCTCTGTGGGGCTACGTACCCACGTAGGGATAGGCAGCCTCAGAAGGATTCGCAAAAACAAATGGAGCTGTTCGCTACGCTGTATTGTCCCCACAGAGGGATGGAGCTTCCTTTCTCCTTTCCCAAAAAGCGCTTTCGAATGACCCTCTCCTAATAGGCAGGAGGAAAGAGAAAAAAAAAAAAAAACTTTCATTCCTTCTGGGTCACTCCAATGTGAAGATAGTATGATCAGCATACTTCCACACGTGGCTTTGACGAAATGGAAATGATGTGAAAAAACGGGACGGTGACACTTTAGAGGATCGCTCCAGCAAGTAACCGCCGCAACGTTGGTCCATTACATAATTGCGTACACTAGCACCTCTGCTTTTTTTTTTTTTTTTTTTTTTTTTTTTTTTTTTTTTTTCCTATTCCAATTAGTTATCTGCGGTGAGTTATCATCGAAGTGGGGTGGCACAAATAGAGAGAAAGGAAGAACCACTATGTATCACTCTCTTTGCTACGCCCCTGCGTACTTTCTATTCCCCATCACCCATACGGAAGATAGCAGAAGGAAATAGCCACTTGGGAAGATAGGAAAAGGAAATAGCGATTTGGAGATTGTCATGAGGACAACGCTAGTCTCGCGCAATGTTGTTCTTTTTTTTTTTTTTTTTTTTCCTCTTTCATTCTGGCCCCATTTTAGGCACAGGGGTAACCATTCGTGAACCACCCCTCCCCTGTGTGCCGCTACATGTACGTGAATGTAGCTACCCATATAGGAAGCAGTTCTAAACAAAAAGAATGGATAAAGGTTGGCGAGGCACCCTCCTCCTTGTCCTCTACAAAGTGGTGCCACTAAAGTGATTGTCATATGATGAAGGAAAACATCCTATGAGGAGACAAACCAGTGGCCATTTAAAAAGAAAAAAAAAAAATGAAGCAACCCAGCATAGGAACACAGGGGCGAATGAGACGGGGTAGATGTGACCAGGACGGATCCGTTTCAAAGTTTTTTTCACTCCTGCGAATGGCACAGTTGGTTTACATTTTCTCACCCCTTTTAACGGCTGGGAGCGTCGACACACAGTTCTGTCTCATCCTTATCATGAGTACCAAATGAATTCCCACCGAATCTGACGCATGAGTAACGCTACCCCAATTGTTTCTCCTTCGAGTAGCAGGTGTTATGGATGCGGAATGTTCCCAGGGAAGATGCGTCGTTACGTTGGTTGACTCAGCTGAGCAATGAAATGTGCACCCTTCATTCATCTTAATTTAAGTTTCGAGCGGTATGATTGTTTATTTTATTTTTCTGTATTTTTATTTTATCTTTTTTTTGTTCTTTTTTGGTACATGCTTACAAATGGGGCTGAGGACAAGAAAGGGAATCCTCTTCGAATGGAAGACAAAACGGTTATCCCTTCTTTGGAGAATATATCTCCCCCGTGATTTAAATGGGTCATTGCACTTTCCATGCGGGCATCTAATGGGGCTAGAACGTGTGCACTCGTTTAAGGCTTTCCTAGTCATCCAGCGCTGATCGATGTGATATGCGTCGCCTGTCTGGCTATTTCGCACAGCGGGGCCAATCGAACAGGGCGGAGGGGTACTTGTATACTCCCCCGTCTTTGCACACAGACTGGATTATCCTTTTGCTCACAAAGTGAGCGGTTCCCATTTGGCTACTTCTTGGGGGGGCGCCGCTTACAATTGAGGGAAACTGCGCCTTTTCATTCGCCTTTTTATTCTCCCTTTCATGTGCCCCTTCTCTGCTTCTCCTCCGCGTTGTCGTTATCCGACTGCAGGAGTAACCATTCAGACCCCGCTAGCCAATCATGGGGGCAATTTTTTACACACTACGAACGTGCGCATATGTACGTGCGTGCTGAGGCAACCCAAATTGGAAAACGCTGGACGGACGTTTTCATTACCCCCAGTTGTCACTCCCCGTTGGAAGTCCTGCCTACTGGAAGTCCTGGCCGTTGCGCCCCGCCCAACACGATCGCATCGATCGACCCTTTCACCGCCTCGTCACTCTCGTTACCTTCCCAAGGCGTCCCACGTCACCCCACGTTACGCTATGCTACGGCGCATCTCACTGTGCCATTTTTATTTTCCCCATTTCTCCAACGTGTGCCTGTGAAGTTCTCCATCGCGTAGCACATGCATGCATAAGTGAAGGAGTGCCGAATACCACGTACGTTATTGGTTGACGTGCGCGCGTATGGCTGTATGCGAATGAACTTTTCTCACCTCCAGAGAAACTTCCAGGCGGCCAAACTCACAGGCAGCCGAACTGGAATGCGCGGCGATGCGCACATGTGAATATCCCGCCCGTGCCTCATCCCGTGACGCACTCGCGCGGCATATGGGCATACACGCGAAAAAGTACACACGTAAAATGGATACAAAAGCAGCATACGCCAGGACGCCATTCGGACGGAATGGATAAAAGGAGTTAAAGTCAAGTGAACAAAAACTCCCCATTTTGTGCATTCTTGGGACTCGTTAAATTTCCTCCGTGATAAGCATTTTCTTTTTTCTTTTTTTTTCTGTACAAT